ACGCCAAGGAAGACTTCGATTAAAAAATGAATTTCTACTCTTAGTTAGAATTTCAAACATGGCTGCAGGAGCTTACTGTCTCATACGGCGCCACAGCTCAACTTCAGCATGACGTATAAAGTAGCCGTTGAGTTCCAAATGAAAATTAAAATAATTTGCCGTCGCGGTTTCGGTTCGCAGACGACACAAATTTTGGCGATTTCACGTTGTTGTTTTACCTAGGACGGCTAAGAAATGTACAAAGTTTCAAAACGCACGTGCTGAGCTATTGTTCTGCTAATTAGATCTCTTGGTTTTCCACGTCCTCGTTGCCGTCGCCGTCGTGGTTCTTAAGGTTTCTAATATCAGATCACTTGGAAGATGGGGGAAAGGGGTAGGAAGAATTCAGTCGTGTCACAACAAAACTTACCCGATCCTCCATAGGGCTTCGTAGTATATCATTATGTTCTCTCTCATTGGCAATAAACTTTCTACAGTCCCTCCTTTAAACTTGGTTAGAGACGACTGATTCCTCCTTCGTTTCCCTGAAAACCATGCCTTTTACTTTTTGATTAGTATTATATTTATCTATCTATCTATTTATTTATCTATTTATATCAGTTGCATATATTGATTAGGAACACTTTTACTCCTGCAACAAATTAAAGAACAGAGACTTTCTCCACAACTAGAAGTCCAAATTTTTGAGCGGTATTTTCCTCTTCAATGACTTCAATTCTTGCTGGTTGTTTTATACACTTTATCAGCAGTGTAATGGCAGCTCCGGCTATAAGCACTACTCCAGATATATAGAAGGCCAGGTCGTATGAACCAAACTCGTCCGCCATATAACCTGCTCACAGATAGACAAAAAAAGAAACCTATACGTTAAAATGGCATGTTGTAAGAAAATGTCTGTTTGGCATCTTCAATAACAAAAGGAGAAATTCAAAAGAGATGATTACCACAGTTACCCTGTATGTTTCTTCACTAAACTTGGCTTTAATGTATTCATGTGTAACCCAAGTCTTTTGTCAAGAAAATACATTCTAAAACTAGGTCATATGGTATCACTGCACTCAATACGAAAGATCGACCCTCACGTCTATTAAACCAAAACTTCTTTACCTTTCATTGCAAAATACTCGACTTGTCACAGTACTTTTTTTTTATTTTCAAAACGTTAACATTCAGTACAACCCCGCTACCTAGAACCCGCTCACTCGACCAAGTTCCAAATTGCCTTGGATTTGACCCCTTTTTTCTAGTCATTTACTATCAGCCAACCCAAATTCCCCGCTCACTCATACTGATTATAACTGCCCTTGTATCAAATTTACCCTGATGGTGATAGAACGGTGAATCTCACCTGCAAGAGGAGGCCCAAGTCCCATTCCAAAACCCACACTGAACATGGCGTAGCCCCAGCCTTGGTTTACTTTTCTTTGACCAACACAGTTCAATACAAGAAGGGAGAACTGACCGAAAGCGCCACCATCCATTAGTCCAAAAACAACAAATATTACTACCAAAGAGTTAAACGTTTCGACAAATGGTAACAGTAACACACATATCCCATATATGACCACAGAGACTCGATAAAGAACGAAACGGCTGACGCATTGGAAGTCTCCTAACTTGCAGAACACGAAGCGGCTGATGAGAGAGGCGACAGCGAGGTAGGTGTAAAGCATAAATGATCTTTCTTCGGGGATATTAAGTTCTTGCTGGCAGTGTTTAATCTGAAAAGTAAAAAAAAAAACAAATAACGACATTTGTGTATAAAGGAAGATGTAAGCTTTTTGATAAACAGTCCAACGTAGTGAGTCTATAGTTTTAAGAACTAGAGCTGATCTGGTCCGATCTGGTCCGATCCGGTCCGATCCGGTCCGATCCGGTCCGATCCGGTCCGATCCGGTCCGATCCGGTCCGGTCCGGTCCGATCCGGTCCGATCCGGTCCGATCCGATCCGATCCGGTCCGATCCGGTCCGTTCCGGTGCCCGTTTATCAAAGCTACTGAACAACTTTTCACGATTTAGTATTAGGCACAATGTTAATATACTTGAGCCTGTGCTTTTGGTGGTTTTGTGTAATTTTTTCAGTTTTGGGCGGCGAAACCACGAGAAGCCTGCGATGGAAAAATTGGAAAAAATGAAATGAAGATTTCTCAAGTAGACGCTGATGATAATTGCAGCTCAGACGTGCTTCTGATCTTCACCGACAGTGTACTGTGGAAAACCAAGAAACGACCTTACTGTAGTTAATTTTAGAAGACACTGATATTTTAGTCCGGAATTCCGGCTCATAGTATTTCACTTGCTATCAATCATCGAGCACTAATTATCTTTGTATTTTTTTATTTCTAGTTTGATAAAACAGGCCAAAGTTGAAATAGTTACCGTACCTGTATTATAATACTCAGTTATAAAGGCGTAATTTAGATAGCTCCGACAAAATGAAAATGAAACCTACGATATGAATAATGGGGTTATAAAAACCCAGAGTAGTAACTGTTATGGACGCGCAAAACACCAAGAATCTGCGGTTCTTAAGTACATGGGATTCATTTTCCTTTTTCTTGATTGTCTCGATTGTTTTCATCTTTAGTTCATTATTTTCCTTTGCCTTGTTCATCGGTAAGTACACAGCTGAACTCAATCCACAAATAAAACATAGGCCCGCCATTCCACGCATGGCCCCTCGCCAACCAAAGGCACTCAGCAGTGCTTGAATCATTTGCGTCATCGCAAACATGGAAACTGATGTTGCAGAAGCAACCAGCCCAGCAGCTATGGAACGCCATTTCACAAAATATTGCAATGCAGCTAGTACCGATACACTAAAGATCGTCATAAATCCAAATCCCGTCAGGAAACCATATGTTGGAAACATTATCCAAAGTTTTTGAGAGAATGAAGCCAGGCATAAGCCAATGATGCCCGACAAGGATCCAAGAATGGCTGCAGCCCGGAGTCCGAACAGATCTGCAACATGAACACTAAGTGGGTTGAGGAAATGGCCAAATGCTCCGTTCAAGGATCCAACCCATGCTAACAAAATGAAAAATGGAAGATGTTCCAAAATTAGACGAGAAGAATATGTTTTATTTCTTTAGGTAGGAGTACCTACTCTACTCATCCAACAGTTCCTTCGCTTAGTTACGGTACCCGCTATCTTATCAAAGACAACAATCAGATAAGCGTTCAAACTTTCGCTAACTTGGACTATTAGAGAAATTCTCAATGCAGTTTTAAAATGGTTCGGGACTACATATAGGTTTCTTCTAGAACTTCTCACTGTAATTCGGATGATATTCCAAACGTGCAACACCCAATGACGACTTCAGGTGGTTAACCTTCCTTCTACTTTGAGTTTTTCAAACTTAAAAACAACTAAACATTTACCTTTTTCGTGACACAGATTTGCGACAGTACATTCTAGTTTGTAACTTAATGCAGGTTTGTTCTGGCTTCTTTCCTAGTAAATTCCAACAAAGGTTCATTCATATCCCAGAATTAACGTTTGCAAATATCGTAAACATCGAAAAGGGTAAGTATATTTTGTAGTGATCTAATCCAAAATTCCCCCTCATTTACTTATTTCTAAACAAAATTTAGAAGACTCCGGTGCATGCACGGTTCTTGACGAGCTCAATCTATTCCAGGCTTTAACACATCTGTCGTTGTAAGCATCAAAGTCGTAAAACCAATAACTGATCAAGTAACGTAATCATTTAAATCCCGAATCTCTTCGTTACCGAAGAAAAACGTCTTCTTAACGAACAATTACTCCCATCCCCCATTCTTTAAGTACATAGCTGTAGAATTTGCTGTACTAAAACTGGTCGTCACGTAACATTTGCATTCAAACATCTCATGATCAGTGGGTACACTCTGCGTGACTGGAGAATCCCATCAAAGTTCCTCTCACCTGTTTCTTGTCTGGTTGTGTTAAATTCATCCATTAATGGTGGAAGAAGTAATCCAAAAGCGTATGGACCGCCGGTTGTGATTAGAATAGACAATATGGATGCAGCACATACAAGACATGACCACAAACCATCCGGACGCCGCTCCATGATGCAAATGTAAGTTACCAACCCACTATTTTCTTTCCTGTTTGGCTCTTTACGCGTGACAGCTGCTTGTCCAACCTGCCCTCGTGATCTCCAAAATTTTGTGATTCGGTGGAATTATCAAAACCGGGTTTTCTTGTTTGATTATCTCGGAAGGTCGACCCAACCGAAACCATGCAACTCTCTCGGCGGGTTTTGCAGGAGCCTGTCGCGGATGATGCATGAATGAACTTTTTCAAAGATTTTGATACGTCAAGATTAGCTTCTTTCCAGCGCGTCCTAGTCTCCAAATTCTAAACATTGAAACAATGTCGAGACTACTGGATCTATTTACTGAGTGAAAATGTGTTTACACTTTTGTGACTCCTCTTATTAGGGAGTAATTGCTCACGTCTTGGTTAGCAGTTGATGTTACATACGCGACGTTGCGCGTTGAAGTTTGTTTTTTGAAAAGGCACTTTGGCCTATGAAAATTACTGAGGCGTCATTTTCTCACGGATTATCTTTACTATTTTTATCATTGTTTTCGTCATCAATGTATTTTTAAACAACAAATATATATGAAATACATATATATGAACTGCGGTTATGAAACGTATATGTGCACGATCCTTCGCAGTAAAGCACTATTTAAGCAATAGTGAAAATCAGACCTGAAAAAAAATTCAGGCCTGCACGGGATTCGAACCACTGACCTCTGCGATACTAGTGCAGCGCTCTACCAATTGAGCTAACAAGCCAACTGGGAGCAGGCCATCAAATTAATTCGACATAAACCCGTAGATGATAAATCAAACAACAAATATATATGAAATACATATATATGAACTGCGGTTATGAAACGTATATGTGCACGATCCTTCGCAGTAAAGCACTATTTAAGCAATAGTGAAAATCAGACCTGAAAAAAAATTCAGGCCTGTACGGGATTCGAACCACTGACCTCTGCGATACTAGTGCAGCGCTCTACCAATTGAGCTAACAAGCCAACTGGGAGCAGGCCATCAAATTAATTCGACATAAACCCGTAGATGATAAATCAAACAACAAATATATATGAAATACATATATATGAACTGCGGTTATGAAACGTATATGTGCACGATCCTTCGCAGTAAAGCACTATTTAAGCAATAGTGAAAATCAGACCTGAAAAAAAATTCACTAGATTTTCACTATTGCTTAAATAGTGCTTTACTGCGAAGGATCGTGCACATATACAATGTATTTTTGTTGTCATTCTTCTTTTGTCATCAATGTATTATCTTTATCTTTATTGATCTTCATCATTTTTACTATTCTTATGGGTATGATTATATTTATAATCAATTTTCCTTGCGTACATTTCAACTGAAATATCTTAGACAATTTTGATGAAAGTAAATCTCTAATTCAAGTTGGTTTCAAAAAAGAAAAGTAAAAATAAATAAATATGGAAAACAAATCCAAAAATCGAGGAGCTAATTTAGAAGGCCACAAGTGGGCCTTTGCACAGTGCTGATGCGTCATTTGCTCACGGATTATCATTAATATAATTCTCATGATAATCATTGTTTCAATTATCAATGTATTATCATTACTATTATTATTAATGTAGTATTTTTATCATTAGATTTATTCTCAACGCATTATTATTGTCATAATTTTATTATCGATGTATCTTTATTATTATCATTACATTTATTATCAAACGTCAGTGAAAACAAGCATGCCACTAGTTTAGAAAATCGTTTCCCAAACAGATGAGCTATAGGACGACTTCAGAGTGCGTCAGCGCAGCAGGCAACCCGGAGTGATAGAGAAAAGGCACTTAAAAACTCGGTTAATAATATGATATTAAGAACACATGACCAAGAAAAGTATTAACATCTCTAGATCTGGCTAGAGAAAAAGGAGCGACCATTTGACAGTCGGTGGTGTCATTGAAAGAAATGGGTTTTAACTTGAAGCAGGAGTGTAAAGACGCTATCAAGTTTCGCTTACATTGACAGGAAGCAAGCACCATGTCTATTATCGTCAGACTTACATTCCTTTATATATTCCTTTTATCATTCTCTTTGTAATTATTGACCGTTAGACTCTCTTATCGTTCACAAGTATTTAAAAGATTGAATTCCAAATAGTTGCTCTTTATGTTGATAATTTTAATGAACATGTAGTTTGCTTTAGCTATGCAAATTTAAAACGAGTGCAATTTTTTAATAATTATTATCAATGTATTATTATTAGCATTATATTCATCATCAATATTTTATTTTTATGATGATATTTGTCATCAGTGCATTATTATCATGATTGTTTTATTATATAATAATATTTTGTGTTGTATCATTGTATTTAAGATTTTGATTTTTTTACAATCATTTTTCCCTGCTTACATTTAATTTTCAAGACAGTTTTCATAAAACGTAAAATCTCCGTTTCAAGTTTGTATTAACCTGATATTCCTTTTGTTTATTATGGAATATCTTCGTTCAACGCACGGTGATGTTTTCCTCGAATCGTTTTGAATGTTTCTCGTAATGAGCACGTGGACACGCTTTTTTCCGATACTAATTTATTCTTTGTTTCGGCGTACTACAGAGGACGATAAACATATCACAATCATTTCAGGAAAGCGCGTGCAAAACAATTGAAAGCTATACCTTGCAGAAATATCCCAGAAGGTGTGATCGCCACGTTATGAAAGCTAAAAAGATATATTTTTTTTTGAATAGACAACGTTTATAGTTTGAAACAGCGAATTATGCTCAGTACATCTGAAGATGTAATTTTTGTGGCTACTGCCTCCAATGGAGTCCAAGCCAAATATGTTGTCGAGATGAGTAAGCGAGTGAGCGAGTGTAACCATAGAATTTTGATCTTGACCCAATTTTGATCCGATGTTTCCTGGTGCTACTTATTTTGTTTCGGAGTGTCTTACTAGTTCGATATTCATACTCGATCGGAAGACAGTAGCTAGCGATAAACATCTCACAATCCTTTCAGGATTGTGCGCGATTGTGCGCAAAGTTTTCTTTGCAGAAATATCTTAATAGGTCTCTCTATGAAGAGAGAGTATTTTACCGTTTAAATCAGCAGATGATGAAGATCCGAGGGTATGATATTTTAGTTCTTTCCGTACGTTACACTACGAAAGACGATAAACACCTCAAACTGATTTCACTATGGCACCACCGACGCATAATTCAAATCAAAACATTTCCTTGCAGAAATATCTCAATAGATGTGATTTGCACATCATGGAAGCTTTAAGGAAATTCTCCCCTTGAAAAGACAGCATTTTACTGCATGAATAAGCGATTTCTGCCGAAAAGGGCCATAAAATTAGTGAAGCGAGCAAGCAACAGAATGATTGCGGAATATCGACGCGGAATGACGTATAAACCTAAAACGCAGAATGCCATTTTGTATGAAACAAAAGGCTCAAAAAATAGAATTAAAATAAAATTAGAAAATTATTCATAATCTAGAGACAAAAAGAAGCATAGGAAAGCATTGCTGGAGCCTACTAGGGGAACCATGAGGCTTTCGAGCTAACCCTTAAAATTATAATTATACTACTACTGCTCTCATTATCATTGTTGTTATCGTTATCATATTTGTTAACATTATTATTTTCCAGCATTTAATTACTGGTTGAATGGTGATTAAAAAATATACCCTTAAATCATCTTTCTCTTGCGGAACAAGGTATGTGGGATGCGGCGGGTTTTGTGTTTTGCATGTAAAACAGATATTCTGCAACATTACCTTCTAGCGTCACGATACAACTTGGCGTGTCACTACAAAAGATGAAAACATCTTATAATAATTTTACGGTTGCGACTCCGATACGTGATTGAAAACGAGACTTTTCCTTATAGAAATATGGGTTTGATCTGCACATCATGGAAAATATGAAGGAAAATTTTATTTATTGTAAGAGAAAGCACTTCAAATGGCCAAAAGAACCGCTAAATTTGCGTAGCGAACAAGGTCCTAAGTTTAGCGTAACAGAATGACCCTATTCGACGAAATGATGGAAAGGAGCTCAAGCTCCATTTATTCCAAACACACTTGACACACTGAGCCACTCAGTGGCGCAAACTGCAAACTTAGATGAATGTCAGTTAGAAAATCAAGTTAATATTAACTGATAGGGCGCTTTATGATTTGCAGCTGTACAAAAAAATTAAATTCTTAACAAAGAAAAAGGAATCACAGCCAATCAAAACAAAGTCAAGAGAGTCAAGAGCCCAATGGAAACCCAGAGTAAATAAGACATTAGTGCAAATTTGAGCGGTGTTAAGCTCACGTAACAACGAGGACATGTTGCGACTTGCTTCATTTCTTTGAATGGTTGGGAGAATGAGGCGAGTTTTCTGGGCCAATCACAAAATGAAGTTAAGCAACAATAACGCAGATTACTTTCGCCGCTCAGTTGAATATTGCCGCTCCATCTTCAACACATCGACCTTTGAGTTATCTCTAAGACGATGGCCAGGAGCTTCTCAAAAGATTCAAACGACCAGGCAGCGGGAACTCTCAAAAGATGCGAATCCAAATGTCATCCAGACAGCTGCTGGTCTTGGGTGGTATGTGCTGCCTCAACGCTGTCTATAGCCATCGTCGCTGGTGTATCATACAGCTTTGGGCTACTGCTTCCCACTTTGACGGAAGGCTTTGAAGAAAGACGACAAACTACAGGTAAAGTAACTTTCAAATCTCATTTTTGTGACTCGAAAAAGCCGAATTCGATGTCTGCGTCGTTTTTTGCTCATGTTCTCCATTCCCAATCATCCACGTCCTAATATCCTCACCAACTTATCGTTTCCCTCCATTTTGAGGAGCGCTTTTATTCTCTTAAGATTGAAAAAAAAATTAGTTCAACATCTAACGTAATTCGTCTACTGGAAAGGAAAACGCTCTAAAATTTTCTCTGTACACAACGTGAGGATTCGTAGCTCAGTTGGCAGTTGTAACCAACTGGCATCTGGGTAGCCTGGGATCGAACCCCGTCGAAGCCTGAATATTTTCATGAGTATTTTCTGCAATATAAATTGCGCTCCACTCGCGCGAATCATTTCTTTGCCTGTTCATATTATGTACATTATTACAGTCCTTACGACTAGATTACATCCCGCGTTTTACTATCTCACCGAGAGGGTAATTTGGTGTTGTTTTGTTATTTCTTACTTTATTATTTCTTACTTTATTGGAAATATCACATACAGTTTAAACAATTGTTTACATCACGCGGTAAGAGGAGAAAAAAAAAAAAAATCTTACCTTATCGAAGTATTTGTCGCGCCTCTTCAACCTAACCTGTGTTGCAAAGTTCTTTGTTCATTTTCCAGTAAAGATTATATTCCTTAAGTTGCTCGGAAATTTCAATTGTTACCACACAGGAATGAGGGGACTGATTCTTGCTGACACTAGCAATTAAATTGCCTCGAATTCCTTGCCGACGAGTTATTAAATATATATATATATATATATAACTAACTGCAGACAGTACTGTTTCGGCCTTCTGGGCCTCATCAGTGCAGTGCTAATGCTAGGATGGAGGAGAACCAATATGGTCACCCCAAACGATCCAACCTTTGTGGTATCGTCTAAGTCATGCCAGAGTGCTCAAACTAGAGTACACTAGTCGTTAATGGAACTCTCAGGCAAACAAAGGTGCACCGCGCCCGGAGGATCAATAAAGATTCGCAGTCCAAACCTCACAGCCAACACGAACGCAATTTTTTAAACTTTCTATATATATATATATATATGTATATATATTTTTTTTTTTTCATGGCTAAACCGGCTTCTTTTTTTCGTTATTTGTGTCGCTTGTTCTCTACTCTGGTGGTCTTTATTTAGTCTACCATAGGAATGATCATTTGGAGTATCATTTATGAGTGAGTTACCTCGCCGAAACATCTCCCTTTCAGGTCGTATAGTCTGGTCATAATAGGGACTTTAAGCAGTCAGGACGGCAACGCCATGGAAGACTTCGATTAAAAAATGAGTTTCCACTTTTAGTTAGAATTTCGAAAATGGCTGCATGCGTTTACCGTCTCATAGGGCGCCAGACCTCAAACTCAACATAACGCATAAAAGTAGCGTTGAGTTCCAAATGTAAATTAAAATAATTTGCCGTCGCGGTTTCGCTTCGCAGACGAGGCAAATTTTGGTGATTTCACGTTGTTGTTTTGCAAAGGACGGCTAAGAAATGTACAAAGTTTTAAAACGCACGTGCTGGGCTATTGTTCTGCCAATTAGATCTATTGTTTTTCCACGTTCTCGTTGCCGTAGCCGTCGTGGTTTGCTTAAAGTCCCTA